GAGTATTCCAAGCAGGCTCCGTGCCGACTGTGGGGCTTGAACCCATAATCCTTGAGAACATGACCTGTGCAGAAATCACGAGTTGGACGCTTCACCGACTGAGCCACCTGGACACCCCTCATTAGGAGAAGTTAACGCCCGGTGGCACATGAAGTCGGACCTTTCAAATAAAGCCATTTCATGTTCCGGAACTGGAGGTGGGGTTAAGCCACACAGCTCTTTCATTCTCGCTTCTCGTCTTGGCGAAGAAACAATGTGCCACGTTCTCAGGAGCCCTCTGTTTGCCTTCTCCTCTCAAACGGAAGCGGCCCCGTTCTCCAGCAGAAGCTGTGCAAAACAAACGTGTAAAAGTGCTGCAATGTCTTGTGCGAAGTCTATTTCTTTTTTTTTTTTATATTTTTATTTATTTCTAGGAGAGAGAGAGAGACAGAGCGAGTAGGGGAGGGTCAGAGAGAGAGAGACACACACACAGACTCTGAAACAGGCTCCAGGCTCCGAGCTGGCAGTCAGCACAGAGCCCGACGCGGGGCTCGAACCCACGAACCGCGAGATCATGACCNACAGAGCCCGACGCGGGGCTCGAACCCACGAACCGCGAGATCATGACCTAAGCGAAAGTCGGACGCTTAACCGACTAAGCCACCCAGGCGCCCCGCGAAGTCTATTTCTAAAAGGTCTCAGTGAGGTGGGGCCGGCCAGCAGGGAAGGCTGTTCAGGGATAGGAGAACATGGACCAGGGAGAGAAGGTTGAGAGCCCAGAAATGCCCTCACGGCGGCCGAGGCGGCAGGTGAATCCCGGTCTCGGGCATCAGCTTTGCACGTGGAGGCGGAGGCGGGAAGGGGGACACGGGAGAGGGCTGTTAAGTCGGAGGGTGGGCCAAGTTCTGGGTGTGTGCTCACCTCAAGCTTTCACTCCCCCCTCCCAACCTCGTATCTCTGCTCTGTGCACGTCACTTGCCTGTCCTTGCTTCCCCGTGAACGTGACATTGGAGCAGTCTGTGGGGTTGCCAATAATTTCTCTGAGAGCACAGGCCCCTGCGGATGGGTGTGAAGGCACAAGGCAGTGAGGCAGGATGCCCCCCGTCTTGTAAAAACTTACGAATCCAGGCCTAAACTTCGGGGACAAGTCAGGCCGGGGAAAGCCCAGCAGTGGCTTAGGATGAAAACTGGCCTCCTGAGTCACTGGCCGTCAGAGCGATGAGGCGGTTTGTGGTGGCTTTCCTGCAAAACATCAAATGAACAACACTGCCCAGGTACCAAGTGTCACCTGGTACTGCCCGATGAAGGCTGCTCCACGAAGTAAGGGCTTCAGCTTTGGCTTCTTTTGGTTTCCAGTATTTTTTCTCACCTGGGGAGCACCGATCCCTAAATAGTTTTTCAAGAATTTTTCGGGTCCCAGGACTTAAAAATGGCATCTTTGCCCTTTTGTAAAAGAAGATTTAACGTCTATTTATTTTTGAGAGAGAGAGACAGCATAAGCAGGGGAGGGGCAGAGAGAGAGGGAGACACAGAATCCGAAGCAGCTCCAGGCTCCGAGCTCTGTCAGCACAGAGCCCAACACGAACTCGAACTCACAAACTTCAAGATCAAGACCTGACCTGAGCGGAGGTTGGACGCTTAACGGACTGAGCCACCCAGACACCCCTGCATCTGCACCTTTTCTGATGTTATCTGGCTCCTAAACGTTAGCTTCTATAGTAACAGGGATGATAAAATCAAGCCTCGCTCATCTTTTAAGAAAAACCACTAGGCTCATAAATGCTTCTACCGTGTGTACAAGTTTCAACCTCCTACAAAGTCACAGCTGTGATTCATCTCATGACTGATCTTGAAGAGCGATATTCATGATTTTGTCTGTTTTCACTTTAATTCAAACATTTCACGGGAAAAAAAAATTGTTTTGTATGATGCCCACTTTAAAAGTTACCATGAAAACTAACCCCCAAGAATTCAGTCACGCAGCCGATAGTTATGGAGCACCTACTACTGCAGGCTCGAGGTGATTTTAGGCACCGGCTATCAAAGATCTAGGCCTTCCCCTGGTGGGGGGCTCATAGCCTGACAAGATGGGCTACTAGTTAGCGATGGACTCAGTGGTCCACAGAGCTCCGTCTGGCCCCTCACTCAGCGCAGAGCTCTGGAAGGGAAGACCACGCACCCGCGATGGTCGGAGATCGTATGGCTGCTTGCTGACTCCACTCTGGTCTGGGCCTGGGGTCTGCAGCTGAGGTTTCAGAGGGTAGGGACACCGAGAAGCAGGGGTGAAAGGCAGATTGCAGCAAGGTAACTTAAATGCGTGTGGTCAGGTTGAATTATGGTGCTTTCCACGCGTTGCTCACAACCTGTGATCAAAGCCAAGGCTGACGCCTGAGTACTCACTCCTCTGCACCAGGTCCTTCCTGAGCACGCCACTGTATTGTGTTCTATCCTCCCCAGCACGCATCATGATCCCATTTTACGTATGGATAGGGGCTCAAGAGGCAAAGGAATGTGGAGCCAAATTATGGGGGCCCTAAGCATTGGAGTTGAAATCTGGCACTGAATCTTCTTGCCTTGGGAGCAGAGCCCCAACCAACACTAGGTTTTGCGGCCTGGCATCTGCTGAGTGCCCTCACGAGTGTGGGTGTGTGGCCCCTGTCAGGGTGCTACGGATTCAGCCCCACTCGCTATTTCTTTGGAAAGTGGGCCTTTTTTGGGGGGCACCTGGTGGCTCAGTGGGTTGAGCGTCAACTTCGGCTCAGGTCATGATCTCGTGGTTCGTGAGTTCGAGCCCCGCATTGGTCGGGCTCTGTGCTGACGGCTCAGAGCCTGGAGCTGCTTCGGGTTCTGCGTCTCCCTCTCTCTCTGACCCTCCCCCGCTCATGCTCTGTCTCTCAAAAAATTAATAAACGTGAAGAAAAATTAAGAGAAAAAAGAAGTCTTGTATTTCTTCTGGGTTCAGCCCAGATAGCAGAGGAAGTCTAGGCGCTGAGCAGTTTTGGGGCTACTCATGTTATATTAACACATAGCTCCTTCCAATTTTACACAATCCCATAGTATTCTTGAAATGATTAACAATCATGACCTTTTTCTGTGGTTTGTTTGTTTAGGTAGGCTCTATGCCCAGCACAGGGCTTGAACTCACGACCCTGAGATCAAGAGTCACATGGTCTACCGCCCGAGCCGGCCAAGTACCCCAAACATGACCTTTTTAATAACTGAGAAGCTGAGGACAGGCTCGGCACTGAGGCCGTTTTCCTGAAGGATCTGGGAGGACCATGGCCATGCACCCCATGAGGCGGACAGACACGGCGGACGCCCTCACACTCCCCTACTCGGGGCTGGGCTAGACACGGAAGCCAGAAAAGCTGAGACTGATCTAGCCCCGGGTGGGCCCCAGAGACCGACTGGCTAGCCACCCCTCCACTCGGCAAAGAAGGCCTAGAAATAAAGAAGGGCGACTTGAAAAACCATCCAGACAACTGCCCCAGACGTTTGATTGTATAAATAATTTATTTCTGTTCACAGCATCATATATGCATATAAAAGGGAGCGGAAGGGGATGTTCAGGACAGAGAATTACAGCCGCAGAAAGGAAAACTGAAACCAGGAGACGACAGTCCGAACACCGTGACAGAGAATCTGTGAAGAGAATCGGCTGGAAATAAAACCGGTCTCCTTGTGTCTAGGAGAAAACATCTCAAGAGCTCCCGTGGGGAGGCGAGCTTCCTCGGTGCGAAACCCATTCATTCTCCAAAGGGGCAGGAGGCATAATGGATCACCGATGCCATGTCGGAGGGGGCACTCTCCCGCCCCCCAGACCACGCCAAGGTGACTTGATGTGCGCTTCCTCTGAGACAAAAATGGGCTGTTAATAGGTCAAACACTACAGAAATCAACTGGGACTCCTAACTATTAGCTGACACACCACAGGGGCCTTACTCGACTGCACAATTACTAACAGTGGACTGCACCCTTAAGTATCGGTAACGCAAAACCCAAAATCATGTCGCTTCGTTTGTAAAGCACGACAGGAGTCGAACGGTGATCTTGAACCTAAGGATGGTTAGCACGAGATGGTTACAGTATTTGGCATCTTCAATGTCACAAAATAAATATATTCTTCTCTCAAGAGTGTGGCACTACCAAAATGTCAAAGTGCATAAGAAATTGTTACATGTGAAGAAAATAAAGGAACATGGATTTTTTTTTAATAACTTTATACAGAATCTTCAGATGATGGGACCAGCCCATTTAGAAATCAGTGACTATGCTGTCAATATGTAAACTGAAATCCCGCAGGCTTCAACACCACTTAGCTCTATTTTCTCTACTGAGTTGCTACAAAAAGACCAGCATTGGAGAGGCACCAAATACACCGACCAAAGATAAAAGAAGATAGGCTGCTAGGTTTCCTCTTTTAAGAGATTTCACGTTAAGAATCGGGTTTCAAGCAGGAAGCCAGGACTCCCTTCAGTCCTTAAATTAACTTTCTGAGCGTAATGGACAATAGGCATAGATTTATAATCTACCTCACATGCTCAAGCATGATCATGCCGCTTCCATAGGCCTCCTTCGTAAAAGAAATTCCTCACAGTGGGGTGTGTGTGTGTGTGTGTGTGTGTGTGTGTGTGTGTGTGAATACACCTAACGCTACCTGTAAACGGGAATTTTAAGAGGAAATTAAAACCAAACGGTCAGGAGAAGTTTCCCTTTTTGATACTGTGTTTCAGGGTAAATGAGAGCTTCTGCAAACCAAGACTCCGTCCTGATTATAAAGGATTTTTTAAATTACATTATTAAAAATATCTTCTTTCGCTTTATCTATTTTCCAAAGCCTCTTTCAAGTAAACCGAGGAGTGCCTGAGTACAGGTGATCATTACATCACGCGCTTGCTTTGATCTCAAGCACTCATTGTTTGCATTTGCTAAGCAGGTCAGTTCCCACAAGAATGGGTGGGGAAGGACCCCATTCCTTGTGCTTTTCCTTCGCTTTTTAAAATCCATGCAACGAGGTCCGCTTTTGCAACAAGGTGGGGTTTTATTTCTTGGCGCATGACATCAAATACTCTAACGGAGACATTTTTAATGAGATACTGAAAACCAGATAGGCCACAATGAACCAAATTAGAAATTTGAACATGTCGCCACTTGCAGCGTAAAGGAATCTAAAAGGGCAGAGCAGAGTCTTTTTTTTCCCCCCGTAAGGTGAATATTTCTAAGGTGAGTATTCATTTGTAGAATTTCTTAAAAACATGTCTGAAAACCAAAACCCATCATCAAGCCGTTAGTATGACAGGAGACAGCCCTCGCCAAAACCAACTTGCAATTCAGCACACATCTGCAGCCGGTGTGCTCACACAAGCCAATCAGTAGGCTAAGAGATTTTGAAGATTCCACACATATGGGTCTAGGTATTTATGCCGATTCCACAGATACAGAGGTCCCTGCGTCTACACACACACCCCATCCAGCATTTACACCAAGAGCCTTACCCTTTAAAAACCTTTAACTATCCTGCAAACAGTAAATACATCATTTGCCACCACCTCCAACGTCTTTTTTGTTTTTTTTTGTTGTTGTTGTTGTTTTGTTTTTTTAATTTTTATTGGGTCTTTGTGTGATCATGACCTACACATGGACAGGGTCCAAACCATCTGGAAGATGTCGGATTCCAAGCTGAAAAGGAGTTCTCAACCGAACTGGTCTTGCGTGGCCACCTTAAAGCACCAGGAAAGGGGCATCTTTGCGGCCATCGCCCGGGCCAAGGCCGGTGCAGCGCCCCGCGCTCTGGGGCTGCTGTATTGTTCTGGGCAGTCCTCTGATGGCCCAAACCACCACCACCGCCGCCGCCGCCGGGCCCAGAGCAGGACAAATGAAATTTCAACAGGGGCCTGCCCTGTGACATAAAACTATCCAGCTTCCAGAGCCCATGAATGCAGGGGGGCGGCTGTTCTGGCCCCTTCCCTGGCCCCTCCCACCGCCAACATGCCCCAGATAGATGCTCCCAGGGTTCTGGGAGCCGCATACCTCAGGTGACTCACAGGTGGGAGCCCCAGTGAGGGCGGGGCAGCCCAACTTCTGGCTGGAGGAAGAGATCCCTTTTGTCTCTACAGCTCAGCTTTCCACCTTGGCCGGGAGGGGCCGACAGCAGGCCAGGCACGTCCACTCCCCAGCGCCCCCCATTAGTAGCTCTGGCGTTCAGACAAAAGGTCCCCTGAGCTGGGGGGGTGGGGGCAGATCGAGGGCAGGCTGGCAACTCAGGGGACACACCCAGGTTAAGTCACTAGTCCTGCGTCTGGGTGCACAGACTCCGTTTTAAAAATTCGAAGCATAGCTTTGGTTCTGGGTCTTTGTCTGCGGGCGCGGATTCTCGTTCCTTCATCCATCCACCCATCCACCCGTCCGTCCGTCCGTCCATCCATCCATCCATCCCTGACTTGCTCGCCTCCTGGCTCGCTCCCGGCTCGCTCCCCGCTCGCTCCCGAACACAGCCGGGCGCATTACCGCTTCTTCTTCTGCTTGAGGGACTTCCTGCGTTTCAGAATCATCTCATAGAGCTTGTCCATGCCCTCGGTGAGGCCCTCGCCGATGATGGCGCACGCCGGCTGGACGTGGTAGGTGGTGGCCGGGATGAGCTCGTGCAGCGCCAGCTGCTTCTCGATCTCGGCCACCGGCAGCGACTTGGGCAGGTCCTGCTTGTTGGCGATGACCAGCAGCGGCGTGCCCTGGTTCTCGGCGAACTTGGTCACCTTGTGCAGCTCGGTCTTCGCCTCCTCCAGCCGGTCCACGTCCACCGAGTCCACCACGTAGATGATGCCGTCCGTGCAGCGGCTGTAGGACTTCCAGAGCGGCCGCAGCTTCTCCTGGCCGCCCACGTCCCAGAAGTGGCAGCTGATGCCCTTGGCCGTGCCGTTGCTCAGCTTGATCTTCTCCGTGTTGAAGCCGATGGTGGGCACCGTGTTCACGAACTCGTTGAACTTGAGCCGGTAGAGCACCGTGGTCTTGCCGGCCGAGTCCAAGCCCAGCATGACGATGTGCAGGGACTGGAAGGCCGAGATGTTGGAGGAGATGTTGCCCATGGCTCCGAGCTGCGGCGCCGGCCACTGCGGCTGCGACCGGAGGGCGCCGCCCCCCGCGCGGTTCCGGGCGCCCGAAGCGGCCGGGAGCACCTGGGCGGCCGCGGGCACCGGCCCGGCCTCGGCGGGCCCTGGGGGCGCAGGCTCGGCGAGCTCAGACGCCGCGGTCCCCGGGCCCTCGCCGGCCCCGCATCGCGTCTCCCCGGCGGGCTTTTGTCCTCCGCGAAGCCGCCCCCGCGGCCGCGGCGCAGGGTGCTCGCGCCCGGCGCCCTCCCCCGGCCCCGGCTCGCTCCTGGCCGCCTCCGGCCGCGCCCCCGCGCTCTCCGCGGCCGGCCGGCTCCGGGCTCCCGGCGCTCGCCTCTGCCCTGGGGGCGCCGCGGGGCCGCTCCCGCTCGCGGGCGCGCCTCGGAGGCGCAGGCGGGGCGCGGGCTTCCCCGGGCGTCGCTGCCGGCGCGGCCGCCTGGCTGTCCCCGCAGTCCCCGCGCCGCTGCTGCCGCCGCCGCCGCCGCCGCCAGGCTGCAGCGCGGGAGGGCGCCGGCCCCGCCCCGGCCCCGCCCCCGCCGCCCCGGCCCCGCCCCCGCCGCCCCGGCCCCGCCCCCCGCCGCCCCGCCCAGCCCGCCGCTTTCGCGCCTTCCGAGCGTTCGAAATCGCCCTCCGGGTCCCCCTCCGTCGCGGCGCGCAGACAATGGGCCCGGGGCCGACTCTTCCTCCCCGGCCGGCTGACGCATCGCGTAAAAATAGCTCCAGGCTTCCGGAACCCCCAGCCTCCGAGCCCGGGCCGCACGGCCTGCCTCGGGGAGCGAGTTCGGGGTCCCAGCTCAGCGGGCGCTGGGGCGGCGGGGAGGCCGGAGTCCGGAGAGGGGCGGGCGAGGACAGCCTCCGCCCCTGCGGCCGGGGAGCGCCCGGGGTGGGCGTGCGAGTGCCCCACCGGGGAGGGGCCCTGTGCTCTGATCTCCAGGAGAGGGGGAAAGGCGCAGGCCTCAGCCAGCCGCTGGCCAGCCGGGGCGCACTCCGGGGCGCACCCCGCTCTCGCGCCCTCTGCGGTGCCCGGGGGCCTGGCGCTCCGCGATGACCCTATCGCTTTCCTTCTGGAGCCCCAGGGCCACTGCTGCGCTTGGAGCGCAGGCCGGTGCCCAGGGAGCCCCCGAGATCCAGCTTCTCATGCCTGGTGGTGGCCACCGTGAAGGAGGGGCATTGGCGCCCTAGGCCACGAGCCTTCCTTCCCAAATAACTTCTCCAACTCCCCTTTCCCAGACAGCCCCCTCGGCTGCCACAGACAGTGCTGACATCCGGGATCACCGGTGAGCGCTGTCTGCCGCTCCACTTAGACCTGAGATCCACCTGCTCACAGCCGAACCCCTCCTCCCCTGGGGCTCCAGACGCTCTCGGGGGCGGAAACATTGAAAGGAGTCCATAGCTTGGAGGAGGTGGCGCTGGGGGTTACAAACACCAGCTGCCCTTCCCTCCACTCCGATTTCCCTTCAGTCCAATTCAGTGCTTTTATTCTGGTTTGGAAACACATAAATGCACACCTGGGCGCAGAGGAAGCCCAGAGTGCATTATGGGTGACACAGACCTGGGGCCCAAGCTGTCTGGAGTCGCAGCCAGTGGCTGAGCCTACAGGTAGCGTCTTTGTAACACTCCAGTTTATTAGGCAGAAAAGACAGGAATGGGGCCCTCAGGGACTAAATGAAAACGACAACATTTATGAACAAATATCAACATTTTACAGAACTGCTTTCCTTGACCACCTTCCCTTCCTAAGCTCCGGGGATTGGCAATGGAATGTCGGGGCTGGAAATGGCCTTGTGGGTCCAGATGAGGAGACCAAGGCCTAAGCACCTGGGACTTTGCCAAGGTGGACTGCTGCTCCAAGCCCAGGGGTGTTGGTGCCCAGGGCTGAGGGCCTGCCTGTTTCCCCCACTTCACACACCACCCACACGCGATTTTAATTTAACAAGGAATGAAGTTGCAAGCAACCTGAATTCAGTTGCAAAAGACAGAAACTAATTCACACTGGGTTGGACAAAATGGAAATACGTTCACTTACATAACTGAAAAGTTTATGATTAGGGTTGTCTTCAGGCATGGCTAGATCCAGGAGCTCCAAAGAAGTCTTAGGCCAGGCCTCTCTCCATCTCTCCTCTGTTTTTCTTTGTATTGATTCTTTTTCCTACTGGCACCCCTGGACTCACATCCTTGGTTTAGATCCTAGAAGAAGAAAGGTGTATCTCTTTCCCAGGAACTGCAACAAAAGCCTGGGGAACACATCCTTCTGGCCTGCCCAGCTCACTCTGGAGTCCAAACTCCTGTCGAGGAGGATGGGGCCACCAGTAGAGATGGTCCAGGGGCTAGAAGTGGGGAGGGCTAGCTCCCAAAGAAAATTCTGGCATCTGTTCTCAAAAGGGCAAATGGTGGGGTGCCTGGGTGTCTCAGTTGGTTGGGCATCCGACTTTGGCTCAGGTCACGATCTCGCAGTTCGTGAGTTCGAGCCCCACGTCCCGCTCCGTGCTGACAGCTCAGAGCCTGGAACCTGCTTCACATTCTTTGTCTCGCTTTCTCTTTGCCCCTCCCCAACTCATACTCTGTCTCTTCTCTCTCAAAAAAATAAATACACATTAAAAATTAAAAAAAGGGGGGGCAAATGGCAGGGAGTAAGCAAAAATAACCTATGTCAACGTAGTTTATAATGATGTCATTTGGTTATCAGGAACCCTGGGAAGACAGGATTTTGTGTTTTTGGAGTGATTTTCTTGGCTCTTCTCAAGGTCTGCCCCCAGGATAGTCACCTTCTCACGAGAGTGTTTCTTCTCTATCCTTGCTCTGCGCCACAGGCAGGGCCTAGGCTGGGTGCCAGTCCCAGACAGGACTTTGCTTAGTACTCTGGGACTTGGTCATTTGGAAAGTGATGAAACAGTCTAGAACCCTCTGGATCTGGCACCCACAAATGATTTTTTTAAAGTTTATTTATTATGAGAGAGAAAGAGAGAGAGCACACGATCATGAGCTGGGGGTGAGGTGCTGCAGAGAGAGAGGGAGAGAGAGAATCCCCAGAGGCTCTGCACTGACAGTGCAGAGGCCGATGTAGGGCTTGAACTCACAAACCATGAGATCATGACCCAAGCTGAAACCAAGAGTCAAATGTTTAACTGACTGAGCCACCCAGGAGTCCCTGCTCCCACTAATGATCTTAACATAGGGCTCCTTTCTCTCACCTGCTTCTCCCCCCAGTCAGGTCTTGCTTTTATTTTAAGGGTAGCAGGAGGGAAATATTTTAGGAAAACATTTGATGTGTTTTCTCGATGCTTCACTAATTACTGCCCACAGTGGGCTGACTATAGCCCCCGCCGTTTGCACCGCACAGTGGGGTTTAGCAATAAAGGGCTGTCTGTTGTCCAGTAGAGAAAAGAGATTAATAGACATAAATAGAGCCTTCCAGAACAGAGCCATTAAACAGCGACTCACCGTAACTGAATAGCAACCACTCTACATTCTAATTTCACTCACCAGGTGATAAGTTGATTTTACAGTTGATAATTTAACTTCCAACACATAAAAATGCCATTCAGCTGGATCGACTAGTAACTTGCCTGCAAATACGGATATAAGTTGAAAAACACTGGAATTATGTCAAGGAAAGTAACGTTTACTACTGTGTCAGAAACACAAGACTCGTGCTGAGTCTCTTTCTACGTGGACACGTAGCGTCGTGGCTACCGGCCTGGGCGGTGTGGAGAGACTGGCTGGGTCCTCTGCATTTCCCAGCACATTCTAGCGGGGGCCAACGCCTAGTTCACTGTTTTCAAGCTCATCTCTACACTGTGTCTAACACATGCGGTTGCAAAGATTAAATAACACGGGCAATAAATAAATAAGAAACAAATCACTGATACACGTAAAGGGCTTGGCACCGTGCCTGGGCACATAGTAAGTGCTCAGTAAATGTTAGCCTTGCTGACTGCAAAAAAAAAAAAAAAAAGTTTTATGGCGTATACACAGTCATTGAATATTGACATCTGGCCCAAGGGCAAGGATCCCACTGAGGGGAAAATACTGGCTGCAAGGTGCCACCTTCGGCACCTCAGTTTATCAGGATAAGACCATTCCTCAAAAACCAGTGTGCACTTCTGTCTTGCCTGAGATGGGTTTCACTTCCAGCAGCCGGGACTGAGCTCCTCTCCCTTCTCTTCGCATCAAGATGGTTTTACACCCAGAAAAGGACTCAGTTAGTTCAAGGAAACAGAATACAGTAATCAGCAGTCTTTTTGCAATTGAAATCCTAACATATTCTTTTTTTTTTTTTTTTTTTGTCCCCTGAAGGGCTTAGAAATGAAATGTGCCACGGATTAAAATAACTCTGAAGTGAGTCTCGTGAACAGAGCGATGCACATACTGCACCACTCTTTGCTGCAGTAACGGTAATGACATGACATGGAAAGTGAGCGTCCTATCCGGAGCTGAATCTGTTTGGGTATAAATATCAGGACGCGGGCCTGTGTGGCCCCACGCTCGCCTAGGATGCGCGGCATCATTAGCACTTTCGGATTGGATCCCCGGATTCAGCCGCTCCGCGCCCATGCTGAGCTGCTGTAATGCAGGAGCGCCCTCTACTGAGCTTCTTGTGTAATAGCCGAAAGCCTGTCTAGAGGCAAATTTATTACCTGTGCCTGGTACATGTCCCATCCGTATTTACTGAACTGATGAGTATGCGAGTGACTGCCTAGCCTGGCTTCTGTCTGGACCTGTGGGACCAGAGCTCTCAGGGCCGCACCTGTGACACGGAGACCGTGCTTCTGCTTGGGGCTCAGAGCTTGAGGATGGCGATTCTCACTAGCAGGCCTGGATCTTGTCGGTGAGACCGGTGCAGGACAGGGTTATGAAAGGGTGTGGCCAGGGGGGCGGTTCAAAGAATCACAAATTGATGGAAGAGAGGGGAAATCGGCATCCAGGAAACCCAGCTGAGACTAGAGAGTGAAGGAAATCCGTTCAGGGCAAGGTATGAGCAGCGTAAATGGAGATGGGGCTGGCAGTCTGTCATGAAGGAGACCGGTGGACAGAGGAAGAAACAGGGCCTCCATCAGCCGAAGCCCGGTGGTCCAGGATTGAAGTTCTTTGTCTGGTGGGAGTGTCTCCCTCACAAAGAGCCCCCCCCCCCCATCCCCAGAATCCCTGGGGAGGGACACACCAAGAATGTCTCAGCCCTGCACAATCTGTGAGATGCTAGGCTCGGACGATGCATGGAAAGACTATGACATTGTCTCCAAGGGGAGTTTTGCAGACGAGGCAGTGGATTTTGGTGG